TTCTTTATTTGTTTGATTGTTTGTTAAGACAGGGTCTCTCTAAGTAGCTCCGACTGTCCTAGAACTCACTGTGTAGACCAAGGTTGGCCTCAAATTCACAGAGGTTCACCTGCCTCCCAAGTGCTGGAATTGGAAGTGTTCACCACCACTCCAGCCATGTGTTTGTCCTTTTATAACTGACTGTCTCATAGCCTTGGTTTCTGGAGAGAAACTTAAGACCTTAAAAACCAATAATAGCATGCAGAATTTTTAACCTAGTATTTTACTATTTTTATTTTAGGGTATAAATGGCATGTGTACATGTGTGAACATCAGGGGTCAGTATCAGGTGTGTCCTCAATCAATTCCCACCTTATCTGTTGAGACAGGCTCCTCACTGGACCTAGAACTCGCTGAGTTGGTTAGTTGGCTGGTCAGAGAGAGCTCCAGGGCTCTGCCTGCTTCTGCTCCCCCGGTTCTGGAGTTACAGATGTGCACGGTTTTTACCCTGGGTCTGGGGATCCGAACTCAGATGCTCACATGGCAAGCACTGTGCCATCTCCCAAGCCCTCTGATCCGTCTTCTCAGGCCCTTGTATTTTTGTTTGTTTCTAGGGTTTTTGTTGTTTGTTTTTCGAGACAGGGTCTCATGTAGCTCAGGCTAGCCTCGAACTCACTATATATCCCAAGTTGGCCTTGGACTCTTTAAAACATTTTTTAAACATTCATTTCCTTATTGTATATGTGTGCCTGTCTGTGCCATAGCACAGCTGTGGGGTCAGAGCACAACTTTGGGAGTGAGGTCCCTCTGTGGTGGTAATCTAATTGTACTGAATTATTATTTTGATTGTATGTTAATAAATAAAGTTGTCTGGGGGTCAGAGCTATTAGAGCCATAGCAAGAGTGTGGCGGTGGTGACACACGCCTTTAATCCCATAGATATCTGTGTGTTCAGGGATATAGCCAGCATTGGAGACATATGCCTTTAAGACCTAGGGGGCTGTACATTCAGACAGTGACGAGGCAGTCATGTGTTTGGGTTTACAACCAATGAGAAGGCAGAACAACATACTATAAAAAAACGAACCGACAGGAAGTAGGTCTCTTTTCGCGAAGCTGAGACAGCAGGAGGAAGGGTGAGATTTTAGCTCTGAGCTCTGACCTCTCGGCTTTCTCTTTTACATTGTTTCTGTGTTTCTTATTTAATAAGACGGTTGGATACATCAATATCCCTCCTTCTACTGAGAGAATCCTAGTGATCAAATTCAGACCATCAAGTTTGGTGGCAGGTGCCTTTACCCACTGGCCGTCTCCCTGGTCCTGGCCCTGAATGCTGGATCCTCCTGCCTCTGCCTCCCAACTACTATTCTTAATAATCTGGATAGATTACCCAGAAATGATAAAGAAAAAAAAATAGGTGTGGTGGGGACTGGGGAGAGAGCGCAGTCGGTAAACCCAAATGGGAGAGCCTGAGTTTGCATTGTCCTCTTCCCCAAATTCCTCCGTTGGGGAGGTGGAGACAGGAGGATCCCTCGGCCAGCTAGCAGTCTAATCAGTGAGCTCCGTGTCGATGAGCGACCCTGTCTCAAAACAGTAGGGAAGAACACACTGTTTATGTAAAAAAAAAAAAGTCCTCAGAAAGGTTCATGAGTTGAAATCTTGGTCCCTACCTGGAGGTAGTATTGAGAAGTGACTCCATCATGAAAGGAGCCAATGGGCTGTTAGGATGCCAGACCTCGTTGAAGGAAATAGTGCACTTGGGTGACTGGACTGTGAAAATTTCTGCTGTCCCAGGCCCTTCCTTTCACTCGCTCTTTGCTTCCTGGCTTCCATGATGTGAGCAGCATCCCGCCTGGCTCACATGCCACAGCTGCCTCACCTCTGGTCCAAATCAATGGGGTATGCACCCTGCAAACTGAAAGCTCCTCCAAAACAGAGCCAAAATAAATGAACAAAACTCCTCTTTTGAGTCCTTTAGTCACAGAAAGGAAAAGTACGTATATACGTATATACGGAGACTCACAGGGACCTGGGGAGATGGCTCACACCGTAAAACACTTGAACAGGAGAGTCCAGGGTTAATCTCCAGCACCCACCTAAATCAACACCTGGCATGATAGCACCCTCCACACACATGCACAAGTGTGCCTTACACCCAAACACATGTTCAAAAACAAAATATAAAAATACTTGAAGCGTCTTTCACAGAGAAGTCATGTGGTCCTTTTGTTGAGCGTTTCAACAGATCAGCAGGTAAGTACCATGTGCCTGCAATGGTCATCAAGGAGGATTTTTGGAAAGTGATTTACTCTCAAGAAGTTATTGTAGCGCGGAAAGGCTGTGGGATGATAAGAGCATGAAGGAATGCATTTTCCCCCAAGCAGCACAACCAAGAAAGCTTCCACAAGAAAGGAGACCTGAAGTGAACCTCAAAGACATGCTTAATGAGGCCAGTCAAAAGCGATTAGGATTAATCAGAAGAGATCAGAGAATGCTAATCCCCTGTCATGGTTAATCTTGATTGTCAACTTGATAGGAACTAGAATCCCCAAAGAGACAAGCCTGAGGGCATGTCTGTGAGGGATTATCTAGATTAGATTAATTGAGGTGCTATTGAGGTGCCGTATTATTCCGGATCCTATAAGAGAACTAAACCAATAGAATGAATGTATGTGTATGCATTAATTTTATATATATATATATATATATATATATATATATATATTATGTATACAAACACTAAAAGGGGATTTATTAGATTTACAGGATGTGGTCCAGTAGTCTAACAATGGCTATCTCACAACTGAAAGGTTGATAATAAGGTGGTTGTTCAGTCCTCAAGATCGGATGTCTCTCTAGAGATCCACGGCTAGGCCCAGGGTGGAGCTCCGGGAGTCCAATTAGCGAGAAAGAGAAGGGTTTATATGAGCGAGAATTGTTGAAACCACGG